CCCAAACCCACCGAGCCCTTCCCTGTGCTGACTGCCTGAGATGCAGCTTTGCTCTCTGGGGAGGGGGGAGAAATTATTTTGGGGCAGAAAGTCAGAGGCTGGGGGAAGGCAGGGTTGAGTCTGCACCTGTTTGGGGCCTTAGGACTTGTCAAGAGCTGAGGAATTGCAGATTTGGGCAAAGCCAGCTTAGCTGTAGCCCTTGCCCCCCAGGGGGCTGCAGCCAAGACCCCACATCCCAGCCCTGGTCTCTGCCAGGGGCCTGGGGTCTGCCTGGCTCTTCTGGGAGCCAGGCTTGTGGCAGAAAAGTGCTCTCTGCTTAACACAGTAGATGGGAGGAAGATAAGGACCAGGGAGCTGCTGCTGGTGAATCCACATCACCTGGGCTGCCCCAGCATGGACATAGCTGGTTGAGAAGGGAGCTCTTTTGTAACAGCAAGGATGTGTCCACCCCAAGACAGAGGTGGTCGAAGAGCCCGCCTGCCTCCCACATGCACCCAAAATTGGGGTATCTCAACCTCAGCCAAAATGGAGCAGTTCTGCAGACTGGGTATGTGCCCACAAGAGTCTTGCAGCCCTGGGCAAACCTACGGTGATGGCAAACACTCACTGCCCATCCCTTCCCGTGGCTGTGCCAAGTCCCAGAGACAGGGAAACGGAGTCACAGAGAGATGGAGCCACATGCTCGCCATCCCGCAGCCGTTCTGTGGCAGAGAGATTCTGCCCCCTGGATAACACCCCTCCTTCCCCTTGCTCTGGGCATGAAACCCAGGAGTCCCGGCACCCCCAGTGCCCCCCATTCAACCCCCCACACCGCAATCCGGACAGAAAAAAGAACCCAGGAGTCCCAGCCAGAACACGCCCCTGCCCACACAGCCACTCCCTGCCAGCGCCTTGCACAGGCCACACTTTACATCTCTTTCCAGAACAGCCACAGGGGCAAAGGGGAGGAAGAAGCCCATCGCAATCCAACGCCCCCAGCCCAAAGAGAGTACAGGAGCCAGGCACCCCCAGATCAGCACTGGCTCCAAGCAGGGTTGATGGCACCTGCTGGCACCTGGAAGACTGCTAGAGGCTGTACCTGCAGAGTGGGAGGGCAGCTCCCATGGGACTTCTTAGGCAGAGCTAGGGGCTCACGGGGAGGTGCAATCACAACCCCCGTGTCTGCAGGCCAGGCTGCAGCTCTCCCAGATCCTGGTCCCAGGCTCCCCGGAGCAGCCACTGTTCCAAACTTGTGGGTGCCTCTCACCTCCTTCTGCCCTCCCCTCCCCGCCTCCTTCCAGCCGGAACTGCTCGGCTAATCAGCACCTCCTGCCTCTTAACCCTTTGCCCTGCAGTGGCAGGACCCAGCTTTTCACCCTCCTCCCAAATTCTCCCGGGCCCCTTCACATCCCAGCTGCACCTGGGTGCTAGCACATCCCCATGGTACCCACCCAGCCGAGGGTCCAGGGGCAGAGGCGGCTGGCCAGTGGGCCCAGTGGCTCTGAGGCTGAAAGCTCAGCCCTTTATCTCCATGCCGGCTTCCCCCATGGAAGAGGGCCATGATCCTTCTGGACCACCCTCTCCCAGAGAACCAGGCTCAGTACTACCCTGATAGCACCCCAGCCTAGATCTGACTCAGCTTCCCAGGTGGATCACTGATGAGAGGTGCTAAAGGGGGGAGGCAGCAGAGGGATTCAGACCTGGTAAGCAGGGCACCATGCTGCCCAAGGGGCCACTCCACAGAGGGAAATAAGCAGGGCTCTCGGGCACAAAGCATCCCCCTGCAGTAGCTGCCTGGTCTGGACGGAGCCCAGGTGGGAACAGGGATCCCTGAAAGCACCAAAGCAGGATCCCCACAGCAGGAGGACAGCTTAGGGCGGGGGGGGGGCAATTATTTTGGACAGACGGCCGCTTACTGAGTTTTGGCAAGCCATCGAGGGCCACGTGATAGGCAGCCAGGGGCAGATAAATATTACTTTTCTAAATTTTTTAGGGGGGCCCGCGGGCAAGATAGAATGGCCTGGCGGGCCACATTTTGCCCACCCTTGGCTTAGGGGGACATCCAGGGTAGGAGGCTGCACACACTGAAACAGGGGGAGATGAAGGCCAGACACTTGGGTTCTTCCTGCAGATCTGAGACCTGGAGCAGAACCATTCCCACCCCCACCCCCCCGCCAAGCCACAGCACGTATGGCACAAGTGGCACAGGCTGCTTGCATGTGGGGCACATGGCAGTTCAGGGATGGGGTAGGCAGATAGGCCGGAGAGCAGAAAGCAGAAGGGGATCAGACTGACATTTGAAGAGGGAGCACAGTTTAATTTATGGCATGTCAGCCAAAAAGGTTGGTTCCAGCTGACTTAGAGGCTGGCTGCTGTAGATGTGGGAAGGAAGGTGGTGGTGCTCAGAGGTTGCCAGCACACAGGGCTGGGAAACCACATCGCTTTGCCTCAGCTCAGCTCAGAAGAGGGCGAGCAGTGGCTGCAAGGGGCACCAGAGGCGAGGCGCTCCCCCTGGCCCTACCCCAGACAGGACACAGCCTCTGGGTGCAGCCAGGGTTGGGCAATGGAGCCAGCAGTGGCTGTAGCAATGACTCAGGCCCTGGCTTTCACCCTGCCCACACCTTGGACTTGCAGGTGGCTCCAAAACACAGCAAGGTTAACCCTGCAGCTGCTGCCGATAGCGCCAGATGCACTGTGAGGACAAACCTACGCACCATGAAAAGCTAATGATCCTTAGGAGAGAAACACAGCAAACGGGGGGAGGCAGCGATGAAAAAGTCATATGAATATTTTGAGGCCGTTTAGATCTAAAACCATGTGCGTTTGTTCTGCTCCCTGCAGCTCTCACATCACAGGGCGGGGGACTGTCTGTGCCCAGGGCTCCTAGAAAGGTTGCAATAGACACAACCCAGCCGCAGCAGCAGTACTATTATTGTAGAGATCTGATTAACCCCAGGGTTAATAATAAGGTGGAGGTAGTTCTCTATGCCCGCAGGGCACAGAATGAGAAAAATGGCCTTCCATTGCAACCGGGCAGATCTGGGCTGCGCGTTAGGGAGACAGTCCAGGATCAGGACAGATGCTCTAGGGAGGCTGAGGAATCAGTTGCTGAAGGTTTTTAACAGCATGTTATGTGTTTGTCAGGGATGATCGCACCCAGAGCAGGGGGTTGGGCTAGATGGAGCCCAGACAGCCCTGCCAGCCCCACCCCTGATGCCACAAAGGATGTCTTTTTGCCCCGAGATCAGGTCCCGTGAGGCTCCCCTCTCTGTCACCCTCCGAGATGTCCCCAGAGAAACCCAAGAGGCAGGAGATGAAGCACAGGCTATAGAGATCCCCCGCCTGCCCCTCACCTGCCTGCATGCCGTCTATCCTCTTGAAGGCCGTGCAGGGACAGGAGAGGCGGTGCCAGCTATGAGGTCCAGTCCTCCAACCGAGCCCCCGAAAAGCTCCCTTCCAGCTGGAGTGAGACAGGAGAGCAACGAGGACAGAGCAATCCCACCTGGAGAAGTAGGATGCACCTGTCAGACCTGTTTCAGCAACTCCGAGGGGCCCTTCACAGACCCCCTTTTGTTCCACGTTCCCCTTGCCGGGTCTCCGTAATCCTGCTCGTTGCAACAGTCGTCAGGCAAAACAAAGGGTGAAGCCGGTGGCTATGAAGGTTGGGATGAGGGGGTGAGGAATCTAGGCTGGGAAACATTATTCTCCAACAAAGCCGCAGTGTTTGCAGCAAGCAGCACTGGGAGCCGCAGCCACCAACACTGAATTCTTGGATGACGAGAGGAGGTTGGTGAACAGGTCTGCACCCTGCTGCTCTGCATGGGGACTAGGACGAGGAAGGAAGGAAGCGGCTTCTGGTTCAGGTAAATCAAGAGACCAGAATTTTTCCCAGGGTATCAAGTCCCAGAGTTGTGGGCAAGTCTCTTCTGTGCCACGTGCCTCAGTTTCCCCACCAACTAAACTGAAAAGGATTTGTTCCCACAGGTGTTGGCAGGCCACAAAGCCATGCGTGACTGCCATGGGGGCAGCTGGAACATGCATGCATTGTGGAGCAGGGACTGGCAGAAGCAACAATGGTGCATGTATGCGAATCATGCCCCTGGGGCAGCCTAAAGAATCACTGCCCTGTGCCTTGCAAGCTCAGAGCTGAGTTTGCCAGTCTCCTGTACCCACACCCAGGCAAGGCATTGGCCAGCTCTAGAAAGGGGCCTGGTAATTAGCTTGTGAAGAGCCACTTGGCTGCAGGCGAAGTGCTGAGGCATGGACATGGATTATGAGGGCGGGATCAGGCCCCACAGGACCAGCTGAGCCTTCTGCAGATGGTTTGAGCCACCAGAGATTTGCTAAGAGGTGGAGGCTTCAACACACAGGTCTTACGAAAAGTCCCCTGCTCTTACAAAGAGACTCCTGCTGTGAACGCATGGGAATTAAAACCAGCACCCAGAGAATATTGTGACCAAGGATATTTGTCAAAACCTGTAAGCCCAGTGAGAAAGGATGAACAGAGGCTGGGGAAGATCTCAGCACCCTACACTGATCAGAAGTGGAGAGGAAATATGGGAAAGATGTCACGCTACAGAGCTGAGAAAGACTCATGAGACAGAGGCTGGGACATTAGCATACACCCCCAGGGCAGGCAATGAAACCATTATCCCCCCTGCCCCTCCAAATCTACAGTACTATGGAAAGCCAGGTGTTCACAATCTTCATGCAGAGAATATCCATGCTGCATCTGTCTAGCATACAAGCTCTTTAGCTGGCCTGCCTGCTTTTAAACATGCTGAAACTCAGTGTCACCTGGCTTCATTCACACTAGATATCGGATGGTGATAGCAGGAGCTCCCTATGCATAGGGACAGACAGCTGGCTCTTCCTACTGAAGCCAAGGTTTTGCTGTACAGTCTAACAGCTGTTTGGGTGACAGTGCCCCAAACACCCCTTTTCAACCAGTGAATGTACATCAGCCCTATTGCCAGCCCCCAGAGCAGTCAGATACTGAGAATCACTAGCAAGAGCAAGGATCATTTTGTGGTGTTCATTTTATTACAAAACCCTCCAGGCAGGCAGTCAACACGCATCTCAACCCTTAGCAGAGTAATCAGAGAAACATCAAGGAACCAGTCAACTGCTTGCTGAAATACAGCAGGGCTTCCAGCAGTCCCTGGACAGCAGCTGGGCATCCTTCTGGGTAGGAGCTCCCCCTCTCTGCCCCCATTTGATGGAAAGGGCCTGGCATTTGTAGGGATTTAACAGAAGGGAGGTCTCAATTCCAGGTATCAAGACATCAATGAGAAGATCAAGTCAATGGCATCGAATGATGAGAAACCTGCAGCTCTCTGAAGAATGACAGAGAGGAATTGGGCTGAATTAGGGTTCAGGATGAGCGTGGCAGGACACCACTGGGTTGCAGATAAGACAGGCACTAAGCAGACAGCACTGATGCCACAAAGAAGCTGTCAAAAGCACCCCCCACAAGCAAGATCTGCTGGGCATTGTTAACATGCTGACACTGCAGTCGCCACAACGGCGTTACAAGAGAACTGGGGTCAGCTTTGCTCCGGGTCTGCTGAGAAAGGTTTCAGAAAGGATGAGAAGGCAATGTGTCAGCTGCCACAAGGATTCGTCAGGACTGAAGTACTAGCCCAGACAGTGCTATGGAAGGGAGATGCCCCTATGCCGAATACACCTGCATTGCTCTGTGGGGTTAAGTTCGGTTCTCTCCTTAGCTCAGGGGCGGCAGCGGCTGCATTCTGTTTTGCTCAGTTCTTTTTGGTCTTGGGGGTGTCGTACTTTCTCTTGCTCGAGTACCACAGCAGCAGAGGGATCCCGATGGATGGAAGCGTCATCACGCCGAAAGCTGCCCAGTCCAGCTGCAGGAGGGAGAGAGAATCAGAAAGGGGCGAGACGGACCAACAGCTGAGCCATGAGAGCCTTACAGCCAAGCCACAAGCAAGCTGATGCGACCCTACAGCGTGAGCTCATTCCTAGACCCGAGCCCAGCAAGAAAGAATGATTTTTTTTTTTGTTCCTCTTGTCAGATTCAGCAGCAAGAGCCTGGGATGAGCTAAGAAAACTCTTTAAGCAGCTGAAATTCAGGAATTGGCTTTCATTCCCAGTGCCACCACAAAGGCAGAAAACTGAACCGTCAAGCACCTGCAGTGCAGCTCAGGGGAACATGGATCAGCAAGCTTAATGGTTACTTACAAAGTGAGGGGAAAACCTCCTGTCAAACTCTCTCTGTGCCAGGATTCCCCCCTGCCCAGGCGCGCTGGTGAAGCCAATCTGAAAGGGCAAGAGACAGAGGGTTTGCCTGCTGGTCCTCATCACTGTAGCCACCCCATGGAGAGCACTGTAGGACCAAGACAGAATGGCCACTGCCTGACCGTCTGTGGACTCTTCCTGACCACAGTTAAGTGCCTAAGAAAACAACAGCCACTCACCACAACCTGCCCACCCTCCTGCGCGAGGTACGCGATGGTGGCAGAGGTGAAGTTGAAGTAGCCAGCTTTGAGGGGCCTCAAGACAACGGTGTGAGAGACGTTGCTAGCTCTGGAAAAGCAGGTGGTTAAAGAAACAAGACGTATTTTATCACGGGAGGGGGAGGTGGGAAATACAGTGATTCAGAATAGGGGTCCAAGTAGAGATCTGAGCTATCTGCAACCACTGAGTCAGCCGCTCACAGGGCTAACTCCCCCATTCCAGCTACCCCAGCAGATGAATGGAGTTTGATGGGGAGGGGCTAGGACATAAGAACCAGATCTTGTTAACACAGCACCTCCTTGGGAGGGGAGAGCTGCCCTTATCTTAAGGATGACACACATGGTTGAAAGTGCTGTGGAACAGGAAAGCTACGCAAGAGGTGAGGCATGCAAAGGCAAGGTCAAAGCCTGTAGGAAAAGGATCTCGTTTCCCAACAAAAGGATACGGTGCGATTCTGTCCCACTTGACACTGAGCATCCCAGAGACGATGCCGAAGTCTTCTGGGGGGAAGGAGTCATCCGAGAGCTCCACATCGAGAGCAGCACTAAACACAACAGAGAGCAGTGAAATACAGCACCCAGGCTGTATCATCTACATACAGCCTGGGTGCTGTATGTAGATGATACATACAGCACCCAGGCTGTATGTAGTTCATCATCAAAACTAGTGATGCTGGCAACACTGACTGTTTTGCACAGGGAGAAAGGATCCATCCTAGCTGCAGAAATGCTTGTGGAATCCATTTGGAAGGCAGAGGCAGGAAATAAATGTGGGGGAAGAGAGGAGGTAAGTTAAGTGTGGGTGACTGAATAGCATGCAGGGTTTGATGCAAGACATGGGAGATGGACACAGGCGAAGCTGAGAGGAGCCATGAGGGACTGGACACCATGAAAGCACCAAGACAGTCAAGAAGCCGCTTTACAAAGGGAAGGGAGATCAACAAGGGATACAGCAGATGTCACTTATACCCACACTGCAGAAGGGCATCAGTCTTCACTGCACCCCACACTGTCCTTGTTCCCTGGCCTTCTGCTTAGCTTGTAGCAAGCTCCAATTCTCTGCTGCTTAGCTTAGAGAATATATTGAGTAAGTGTCCCAGCAATCTTCTGTCCTGCTCTACTTTGCAATGCAATGGCACAGTAAAACTCACTAGGACCTATTTCAAGGCTTCTAAATCAGCTGGAAAGGGATCAGGTTCTGCCAATTTTTAGACTGCAGAGAAACAAGGCAGGGAGGTATAGAAAGCTTAACCACAGGGGTCCTGTAGTTCGAGAGCGCTGTCCACACCAAGTCTGGATAAGTGTAGAGCCCTTCTTCCAGGCCCAGGGCCACTTCTCCACACTGTATTGTGCAAATGCTGACAGAATGGTTGTTAGGTCAAAGCAAGGAGAGAGACAGGCAGAGACCAGGGTGAGGCAGCAGGAAAGACTGCAGCAGGGGCTTGACAGCCGAGCACTGAAACATGGCTTTGGAGAAGGGAGAAATGGAATGGAGTCGCATCAAAGAGGCAAGAGGACAGCATTACAATGTGTACTGGATGCCAACACACTCCCCACATGCAGGGACCCACTGGGCTCCTATCAGGACCTGCAAAGCACCTCTTAGCCTCCCTCTTCTGAAGAGACCCCTCGTTACTCTCCAAGCCTTTTATCACAGGAACTGTTCCCCCCACCCTAGCCTTGGAGAGGGCATGATGGAAGGGGTTACATAGGAGCCTGGTGATGGACCTCAAGGAGATCAAGGCCTTCAGAGGCAGAGGGCAGCCATAACTACAGTAACAGAAAATCTCTGGTACTACATTCATCCTCTCCCAAAACTTGTTCCCGAGGGTACTGCCCCCGCCCCAGCTTCTCCAACTGTTACGCAGGAAGATTTTCACTTCAAAATCCTCTCCCCTCCTTGTGCTAGCCACCTCCCTGCAAGGGCCAGGTGCCCTTGCAGTCCCCAGAGCACAGGGTCTCACCTGGAGCCCACGTTGTAGATGTTGTACTGCAGAGTCAAATCTTTGCCCTCTACGGCGTATCTGTTTAACAGAGACTTAGAGGCCAGCAGCCTGGCACCCTCCTCGCTATGGGCAACCGACAGCAGGGCACACACGGCAAGAACAAATAGCTTCATCTGGAAGGAGGAGAAAATACACTTCGTTAATGCTTTAGGTTTCAAGGGAGGGAAAAGCCCCTCTGACGTCAGGAGGAGAGGAGAGAACAGACACACGTGTGCTCCCTTTCTAAATCCAGCAGAAATGGCTTCACGCAACCCTGTTGTCCTGCACGGGGCCCAAACACAGGTCTGCGAGGGTCAAAAGGACTCAGCTGACCCTGACAACTAACTGCCCAGAAGAAAGAGGAAAGATTTTATTGGGCACGTAGCTAAAGGGTCTGTTTCTTACTATCAGGCTAGGAGCAGAGCCTGTTTCAGATGCATTTGATTTGAGAGCTCTCTTCCCCTCTCATGCACACACAAGTTGGCCCACAGGTATCCACATCCAGCCGCTAATTGGCACCAAACCCTGACCACAGTCCCAGCACCTCGGGGCACTCAAGGGCGGCAGGAGAAAGGAGCTTGCTCAGAGCATCCCCTCCCCTCCCCTCCCCACTGCTACTGTTCTCCTGCAGTCACAGGCCCAGCTCCCCATAGGGCTCCCCACAACCAGACTCGGCAGAAGGGAGGTGCCCCCCCAGTGCTCCCTGCTCGCAGCCACATGTCCAGCAGCCAGCAGGTGCTGGCGTGTCCCCGCAATCCCACCCCGCAACTTTCCTGCCCCTCTTCAGCACTGCGTGTGCCCCGCCGAGCCCTCCCTGCGAGTCCCCAGGCACCCCCACGTCTCCCCCTCCCCCCAGGGCCACGCTGCTGCCCTCAGGCCTGAGCACCGGTTTCTGTGCACGGGTTTCAATGCAAAGGAGACAAGGAGCAGAGCTCAGGATGGGGGGGTGGGGAGAGCAGGGCGGGAGCCGGACCCCCACGTCCGGCCTCCCCTTGCACCCTAAGGCGCCCCACCCAACTCACGCCCCTGCCCATCCCCCATAGTGCCCACCCTTGCACCCCAGGGGATCCCTCCCCCACTCACACCCCTGCCCCCCACCCACAGGGCACTCCCAGAACCAGGGGGGAGCTATGACCACACCCCGCTTGCACCCCAGGGCGCCCCTCCCCCGCTTACTCACCTCGCGGCTTGGCCCAGCCCGGCGCCCCTACCCACTTCGCCGCACGCGCCACCGGAAGCGGGAGTCAGCGCTGAGCGCCCGGAAGCGGCCGCGCCGGAAGTGCGGACCCCGAGGCACCCTGGGAAGTGTAGTCCCCGGAGGGAGACTTCCGCGCCTGCGCACCAGCGCTCCTTGTGTGGGGTACCTTGAGTCTAACAAGGGGACCTCTAGTCCAAGCCGAGGGGAGTTTGAATCTAATGAATGGGACATGAGTCTAATGAGGGGGGCCTCAAATCTAACACAAGGAACTTGAGCCTAAGGAGGGGGTATCAAGTCTAACAAGGAGGACTTCACTCTAATGAGAGAGGCCTCAAATCTAATGAGGGGGCCCTCCAATCTAACGAAGGGGACTGGAGCCTAATGAAGGGGGCCCTGAATCTAATGAGGGAGATTTGAATTTAACAAGGGGGGGGTGGTGCTTGAATCTAATGAAGGGGGTCTTGAGTCTAACAAGGGGGTTTTGAGTCTAATGAAGGGACTTTGAATCTAACAAGAGGGGCTAGAGTCTAATATAACGAGGGGGACTTGAGTCTAATGGGGGGCTCAACTCTAACAAGGGGGACTTGACTTTAATGAGGAGGTTTGAGTCTAATGATGGGGTCTGAGGGGGCCCGTGAATATAAGCAGGAGGTCTTGGGCCCAAGAGGTTGAGACTCTAGTCTGCTAAAACTACGCAGTTACCCCCGACACAGCCAGACGGGATAACTCCTGAACCTGCGGGGAAAGCAGGGGGACAGTGGTGGTCAAGTCCTGCTGCCACAGAGGGTGTTAAAATATGCTTCAGAGGTCCAAGGCAGAGGTCATGTCCCCCTGCAACAGTAAAGGCAGCTGCCTGCCCCCTCAGTCCATACCAATGTTTTCCCCAAAAAAGTGTCAGCTTCCCAAGACACCCGAGGGAGCGCGTGCTCCGGCGCTTGTCCAGCTTCTCCCCCGACTCTGCAGCAGGTCCATAAAAGGGATCACTCAAGACTCTTTGCCTCCGCTTCCTATGGATGTTCTCAGCTTTTCAGTTCCCAAAATGAAAGGTTACAGGTTGAAAACCTGACGATTGTACCCTGCCGTCTGGCAGCTGCCATTCAAAGGACTTGGAGGCAAACCTGAGGTCACTCCGACTACCCCAGCGGGTGCAAGAAATCCAGCTGTACCTCCTGGTCACCCTTGATTACAGGCTGACTTGGGCCCTGTATGGGCCCTGCCAGGATTTGGCCCTCTGTGTGGGCTGGAGATGGGCACTCAGGACTCCTGGGTTCTACTCCAGGCTCTGCCAGCGATCCACTGCGTGTTGGGCCCTTTCAGCTGCTTCGTGCCTCAGTTTTCTCTTCTGTAAAATGGGATAAATGCTGCTGTCCCTCCCTTTCTAGAGTGAGGGAGCTGGAGTGAACTGTATATGGAACCTGAATACATGCACCTGGAGTTAGTGTTGTGCCAAAGAAAGGGAGGAAGAAGGCACTAGCAGAGGATAAGGCAGGAAGCCAGGGAGAGTCCCTACCTTTCCTTCTCTGCCCGTGATCCCTTTCCCTCAGTCACCTCCATTGAGGTCTGCTCCTGCTCTGCCCGTGTCTTCTCTGCAACCTCCAGGCAGAGGGGCGGAAGCTGCCTCCTCCCTCAGCTGCACTCAGCGACAATCATATAGAGCAGGAAGCCGATGACCACCGTGACTCTGAGCAGCGCCTTGGTGAGACGCAGCAGCAGCAAGGCCAAAACCAAGCCCTCCAGCCGATCCGCCCAGCTCACCAGGTTCAAGAGAGAGTCTGCCAGCCCCATACCGGGGGTCTGCTGCGGGCTGGGGAGGGCAGAGGTGGGGGGAGAGATGAAATCCCGTGAACAGAAATGGGAGGAAGTGGGAGACAGGGGACATTTCTTACCCTACCTCCCGCTGCCTGAACCCTAGAACGGTGCCATGCCCCGGCTCGCAGCCCCAAGCCCAGCCAGTCCCTCCTTCTCAGGAACTTTCCCCTGCCCTCAACCAACTGCGCAGCCCAGGCCGCTGTTATCTCCCCGCTGCAGCACAGCATCTGTGATCACAGCCAGCATCGTCACCCCTGACTCCCTGCCCAAATGCTACCCTCTCCAGCATCCAGGACGACCTGCTTGCTTCATGCAGCCGCCCTCAGGGTTTCAATCAGGCTGAGCCCACTGCACCCCACGCAGCGCACCTTCAGGCATGTCACCGCCTTTGGAGTCACAGGTGAGCCGACCTCTGGTTCAGCCAATGGGGGTTTCCTGTCTCCCTGCCTTGGCCAAGGGAAAGGTGCTGGTGCCCCTAACTGCCCTTCCCAACCGCTGTGGAATGGGGACCCCACGATCCACTGGATGCAACCCACTGGCCCCCGCTGCCCACCAGGCTGGTGGTGCTAGGGAACAAGCTGTGGGCTAGGCTAGCAAATCAGCATGGGCCTTTCCAGCAGGAGAACAAGTCACACGCTATCTATCCATCTATTCATCCATCCATCTACATGTATTATGAAGGCCAGTTCCTTCCCATCTATCTGTCTGTCTGTCTGACTGACTACCTACTCCCATATATCCATATATACTCATCTATATCCGTAACTCAACCATCCGTCCATCCACCAACCCATCCATCCAGCTATCTATATACCCCCATCCATCCATATATACTCAACTATATCCATAACTCAGCTACCTATCTACTTCCATACATCCATATACATTCATATCTATCTATCTATCTATCTATCTATGGTGGCAGCCAGAGACAGGGGAACAGAAAAGGGTGGAAAGCCATGCAGGAGAAAAGCTCACACAGGATGTGTTTACAACAGCTTTATTAGAAGCACTGGCTCCAGCCATAGCCCCGGTGCTTGGCATCACAACGGGAACCCCAGTCTCAAGAGCTCTAGAGGTGATCACCGGCACTGAAGCTGCAGCAGAGATGAGGCTACCTAAGAAGAAATGGGACTCCAAGCTCAACCACATCCTGGGCACATCATTTGGAGGCGGAAGTCAAGCCCTGCAGGCCAGTCTCTGAGTTGTCCTGCTGCCTACCCCTATGCTCTGAGGTGGCCTGGAGCAGGCTTAAGGATTCCTGCAGCCCCTCTAACAGACTGAACTGGGCCTGCACCATCTTGGTCTGAATCTGGAGATGGTTGTGCATGCATTCCAGCAGGCCCATGCACTCTTGTGGCTGATGGTCGGGGGCTGCGGAAGAAGGGGTCGGAGGGTTAGTTATTCCTCTCCTCTTCCTGCACAAAGAGCTAATTAACTGTCCTACTGATTCCAGCTGCTGAGGCTTCCCATTGGCCACAGCCATATGGGTACCATGACTATGATGTAGACAGAGCTCTGTAACCCACAACCAGCTTTGCCCTTACAGAGGTATCAGCTACAGAGGGGGATCTTTTCTCTTCCTGATACTGACACAAGTGATATGGATATACCAGACCCACTGATGCTGACAGACCCCAAGGGCCTCCTCTCCTCATGTTGGTTGGTGCCAAGCAGAATGAACTCACAGGAGGAGAAAGACTTTTGGACCAGAACCCCAAATGCATGTGCAGTTAATTTTTAGTTAATTAATTATCACCCAAACTCTATGTTATCTCAGTGCTAGTACAAGGAGAAGAGTCCCTACCCCATAAGGCTACTGCCATGTGCCCCCGGATTCCAAGGGCTTGGTCTGTGATGAGCGGCATTCAGGATGGGTCCGACACTTACAGAATTGTGTGTGTCCCAGCCTTACAGCCTGGATGCAGCGGTGACCCCGGATGGGCCTGCGCTGGGTGAATGGAAGCTCAAGAAAGCTGGGGGAGGGCTTGGCAGGATGGAACAGCTTAAAAGACGCAGAAGGATGTTCAACGTTCTCTGAGTCTTCTGAGAAACAGAGAAAAAGTGGGTAGAAGGGGTCATCAGGGTGTTTTCCACCATGACAGTTATAACATCAAGCCCTGACTCTCCTGTAGCACCTTTCAACCCCAGATGCCCCACAAAGGCCAATCTAAGCATCTCCCCATGCTTGGAGGCTGGACTTTGTATCTACTTAAAAGCTCCCTGCCACAGATCTTCCTTCAGAAATTACATTTGCAGCTACAAAATGGGACAGGGGCCTCCATGTCACACACTGTCCTTTAGAAGTTCAGCTGAGCCTGCCAGCAGGGAGATTGACTAGTGGCTAATGTAGCAGATGCTTAGCTACCCTTTTCCTGCATCCTCTGTCTAAAGGAAAAGGCAGGATCTGCAGGAGAAATCCCACAGCACTGCATTCTCAGAGCTGCCTGCGCACACTAGTGTTACACGACAAATAACTACAAGGAGCTGCAGGACTGGGGAGATAGGAATACAACATCTGAGAGGAGCTTTTCAGCCTGTCTGAAAAATAAATGAATGACTGCACTATACCAGTGAGGTAAAAAGGTAAATGTAGGAAGGGCTTTTCCACTGGTAGGGTAACTCCTCTTCTGAAAAGACCTTCCAGATTTGAAGGCCTGATACTTTATGCTGCTCTGACAGTCTCAGTCATGGACTGGAACTCCATGGTGCAAAGTGCTGTACGAATGTATATTTTGGCACAGCGAGAATTAATGCCAATGCTCATGCAAAGCTTCCAGCCTGATAGTTAAGTTGTGGTTTGTAAATAAAGTATAAACACACCCAACCTACTTATCCCATGCTGTCCTTCTTCTTGAGTGCTTGAGTCTGCCTCTATCTGGGTAGGAACAAAGCTTGTAACTACAAAGGAGAAGGAAAAAACATGGTTATCTGCTGAGATAGTTTAAAAGGAAAGAGGCTGGATACAGGCGAGAATGCACCTTCTGTTTGCACTGCAGTCAGGTCATTGCAACATTCATGTACAGGGTCACAGTGATAGGGAAAATTATAGCAAGAGAAGCATGTGAAATGAGGCATTTAGACCTCAGGGTGGCTGCTCTTAGACAGAAAAGCTTTACACATAAGAATTGCCATTTGGTGCCATAGATCTGTTTTGCCCAGTCTCCTATGACACATGATGACAGAGAGCGAATGCTGAAAGGGTGAGTGGACTAGGAATAACCAAGATTTTTCTCCTCCCACCTGCAGCCTCCAGCATTTACGGCCTAGGAAGTTCTGATTCAGAGACTGTGCCCCTCACTCCCCAGCTCCATACCTACTGATGCCCCTTTCCTCCAAGAATTTGTCCGATCCCTTTGTGAGTCTGGCCACACTTTCAGCTTCCCCCACATCTGGTTGTTCCACACTTGTCTCCCACGCTGAGTGAGAAAGAACTTCCTGGTTATCTTTAAACTTCATAGAATCACAGAAAATGAGGGTGGGAAGGGAACTCAGGAGGTCATATCTAGTCCAATGTTTTTAACCTGTAGGTTGTGACCCAAAAGTGGGTTGCAAGAATATATGAACGGGTCATGAACAAACTTTAAAAATGGATTCTCCTAAAAATGTGGGAAACCATGGCTTTTCCCTTGCAAGCAGGCAGAGTTCCAGCCTGTGAGGGGCTGCTTGGGGGCCACCCCTGCCTCACACACCCCTCCTCTACCTCGCACAGCTATTTCCTGCCCCACGCAGTAGGCGGCTGGGGCCTGGGGGAAGTGGGTTGGGAGCAAAGAGCACTGGGTCGTGACTAGCCATTGATGTTTACAAATGGGTCCTGGTACAAAAAAGGTTGAGAACCACCATCTAGTCCAACCCCCTGCTCAATGCAGGACCAGCCCCAACTAGATCATCCCGATTCAGGCCTTAAACACCTTCAAGGATGGAGATGTCACTTCCAGCCCTTGTCTTCTATGATTCTGCCCTCCTCGTGAGAAAGTTCTTCCTAAAATCCAACCTAAACCTCCCTTGCTGCAACTGGAGCCCATTGCTCCTTGTTCTACCACCTGCCCCCACTATGAACAGATCCTAGTTTATCTGACACTGGGATTCGAACCAGAATAAACAGCTCCATCCTCTTTGGTCCCACCCTGCAGGTTTCGCTGTGCGACCCCTCCTGCTCTGGGATCTAGTTAGCCCCTAAGGCGCACCCTTCCTTGCCTCCTGCGCGCAAAGGGGCATGGGGCGCTTCGAGCTCCAGGCCTGGGGAGGAGGAGGAGAACAAGGAAGCAGCCGACGCAGGCCTCTGGCTAGCAACAAACTACAGCCCTCATCAGGCCTTGGGGCTGGACTACAACTCCCATGGCGCCCCGGGCCGCAGCCCGGCCCTGACGAGACGGGGGACTACATCTCCCAGGATGCACCGTGAGCGGGGGTTCTGCAGGGGACTACGACTCCCATCGTGCCCCACACCAAGGGGCTCCAGCTCCTGCAGGAGTCTAGCAGGTTCTCCCTCGCCACTCGCCTGCGGAACGGGCCCAGCCGCAGCTTGACGGCTCCGAACGCGAGCGGCAAGGCCTCCCCCGCCCCGCCATTCAACCGCTACTCGGCGCTTGCGCGCATGCCCACCGCATTCCTCTCACTGTGCGCACGCGCGGACATGCGCGGTTCTCACCTGCGCTCTGCATACTACGCATGTGCCCTCAGCCGGCTTCTGCGACGCATGCGCAGTGCCGCCGGTCCCCGCCCAACGTTGGTGCCGAGGCCCCACGCGCTGAGGAGTCTCGCCTCAACCAAGCAGGGCTGGGAGGGAAGGGGCGGAGCCCTGACTTCCTATTGGCTGCCGGGCTTCGGGCGCGGGCAGCGATTGGCGG